AGCTTATGATACACCCAGTTGGCAGTAGCACCCCCGGTTTTCCAAATAGCCAGTCATCATTTTTCTCTTGTCTGCATAGACTTCTTCTCATTAGCTGCCTTCTGCTTTTGTTGCATGATCTCAGAGTCCCTACAATGGGGGAAAAGGCTATAAGTTGTTACAGCAAGACCAATTTTATATTCTCACTTGTTTTCTACACATAGCCCATTCAGTATATTAGAAGACAATTTAAAAGATTATATAAACATTCTTGTCTTTCCATTTTCATGGCCAGAGACAAAATGGAAAGACAAAGACTAGAAAGGCTTTGAAGTCAGATCTTATTCTGAATACCATCTCTGTTATCATGATCTTGGACAAATAACCTCAAAGCCCTTTCAAAATCTGAGCAATATGTATCAAGGTTGTTCTCAGGAATAGCTACAAATATATAAAAGTGTCTGACATTAGGCAGCTACATGTAGGAATAAAGCAATTACTCTTGGTTGTTAACAAGTGAATTCATTTAAGAAGAGGCAAATTTAAGAAGTCTCCTAGATATCCTAACTGGTATCTATGACTAGGACATAGCTATTATGAAGCAATTCAGTTTCTTACAAGCAAAAAAGCCCACAAACTAGTCACTAAAACTGGATTACATTAAAGAAAGGCTGGGAGCTCAGAGTACTTTCTTAACCCTTTTCATCTCTGGTCAAACTGGCATGTGCCATATGAACTGTGAACTATGACCACACTACCTGGGTTAGGTGATCCATGAGTCCATGAAACCATTCTTAAAACAGACTAAACGGCTATGTATTCGACACCTACTGTCTGCCAAACACTTCCAGCTCTGGTTAAAATCCCATAACTCTGAGTTATTAACCACGTCTCAATTTTTTTTATTTTTAATTTTTTTTGAAACAGAGTCTTGCTCTGTTGCCCAGGCTGGAGTGCAGTGACACGATCTTGGCTCACTGCAACCTCTACCTCCCAGGTTCAAGCGATTCTCCTGCGTCAGCCTCCCTAATAGCTGGGATTACAGGCGTATGCCACCATGCCCAGCTAACTGTTGTATTTTTAGTAGAGATGGGGTTTCACCACGTTGGTCAGGCTGGTTTCGAACTCCTGGCCTCAAACTGATCTGCTTGCCTTGGCCTCCCAAAGTGCTGGAATTACAAGCATGAGCCACCGAGCCTGGCCGGTTTTAACTTTTTGAGGAACTGCTAAACTGTTTTCCACAGTCCATGACAGTAAGACATTTCTGTAAAGCCAATAGCAAAAGCAAAGGAATAGAAGAAAGGCAAAATAGCACAGCTATAGGTGTTCTGCCTACCTCTTATCTTTATCTCTTTACTTTCCTAATAAGCTTGCTTTCACTTAAAAAAAAAAACAAACCAACAAAAAAAAAAAACATACACAGCTACAAAGAAACGAAGTATGGTGGAAAAAGAATCATGACAGTTACTTTTCTATTGGAAACCAAGCTCTGCTGTGCTTGCTGTATGACCTTAGTAACGTTACTGAAGTTCAGGGCCTCAGTTTCCTATTCTACACATTAGTGCTAATACCATTTTTTGGGGCTATGATGAATAAAAAATAATGCATATAGAGCATCTGGCACAGAGCTTTATAAGGACAGCATACTTGGTAAACAATGGCAATTTCTGAACCAAGTTAGACTAGATTCTCCAGTAAAAATATTATTGCAGGGTCACTGATCCATACCATGTTCATTTTTACTCTACTGTGAGTAAACAGAAATTGAAGGCAAAGCTTATCACTTTAATAATAAATGTCAGGGCCAGGCACGGTGGCTCACACCTGTAATTCCAGCACTTTTGGAGACTGACGCAATCACTTGACCCCAGGAGTTTAAGAGCCACCTGAACAACACGATGAAACCCCATTTCTACAAAAAATACAAAAACTATCTGTGCTTGGTGGTGTGTCCCTGCAGTCCCAGCTACTCAGAAGGCTGAGGTGGGAGGATCACTTTAGCCTGGAAGGCAGAGGTTGCAGTGAGCTGAGACTGTGGCACTGCACTCCAGTCTGAGACACAGAGTGAGACTCCATCTCTGAAAAAAAAAAAAGGGCTGGGTGTGACTTGCGAGGCTGTGGTGGGTAGATCACAAGATCAAGAGATCAAGACTATCCTGGCCAATGTGGTGAAAACCCGTTTCTACTAAAAATACAAAAATATTAGCTGGGCATGGTGGCATGTGTCTGTATTCCCAGCTACTTGGGAGACTGAGGCAGGAGAATCACTTGAACCTGGGAGGTGGAGGTTGCAGTGAGCTGAGATCATGCCACTGCACTCCAGCCTAGGTGACAGAGTGAGACTTCACATCAAAAAAAAGAAAAAGTGTCAGGAGCTTTGCCTTAAATTAAGGTCTTTAATCTCATTAATCAATGATTCTTAACAGTGGCTGCACATCAGAATCAGCTGGGAGCTGTTTCAAGTTCAGTTTAAGGAATAAGAGGGCCGGCATGGTGGCTCATGTGTATAATCCCAGCACTTTAGGAGGCCAAGGTGAGTGGATTACTTGAGATCAGTAGCTTGAGACCAGCTTGTCCAACATGGTGAAACCCTGTCTCTAGTAAAAATACAAAAATTAGCTGGGCGTGATGTCAGGCACCTGTAATCCCAGCTACCTGGGATGCTGAGGCAGGAGAATCTCTTGAATCTGGAAAGCGGAGGTTGCAATGAGCTGAGATCA